CCCTGGGGTGTCCCTGGCCATGCCTGACTGTGGGAAGGAGGCCCGTGGCCTGACAGGCTCCCCTTTATCCTCTTGCAGATGGACAGCTGTGGCAGGAGCCAGAGAAGAGTCCTCCCAGAATCTGCAAGCAGGACACAGCAGACATTGCCGCCTCGCCTGTCCAGAGTGAATGGCTGGTCGAAGCCCCTCCACGGATACCAGGCAGTATCCTGGGCCATATTTGTGACCTTGGCCTTAGCCATGTTTGGCATTTTTATTCCCATGCTGCCTGGCATGTGGAAGTACATTGTCTATGGAGTATCCTTTAACTGGGCATCACCTGCCTGTTGTCTAGAGTGGGGAGGGATTAGAAATCACAGTCCTTTTCCCCTGGAGGACTCACCTCTTTGTTCCCAAGGGACATAGCAGTTTGAGAAAGGCTTAGGAAGTTGGCCGCTGGCAGCTCTGCAGAGCTGACTGGGCAGCCCAGGACCGGTGCCCCTGGCACCTCCACTTTGAGGCTGAGGGTATTCTAGACCCATAAGGAGGAATCATAACAGCCACTGCAGACAGCGGGGGCTACAAGGGCACTTAGGTAAAGGCAGGACACACACCTGAGTAAGGAGCAAAGGCTCACCTGGCTAGGCAGGTGCTCACTTGGTTGGGGAGGGAGAGTTCTCCTGGGCTGGGAGATACTCACCTGGACAGGAAGGTGGTCACCTGCTTTAGGCTGGTATTCCCCACCCCGCCTTGCCAAGCTCTGTCCGTGGTGCTCACCTGAGGAGAGGTGCTGCTGTGTCAGTAGGCGCTGAATGCCTGTGTCTGTCTTCTCTCCACAGACATCAACAGTCAGAACACATGGCTTCTGTTCCTGCCATATTTCCACCTAAAGGCAAAGACCCCAGTGGTTGCGATAATTGCGGTGTTGGTGCTGATGTTGGACCTCATCAGCCTCCTGATGATCGGGCAACTGTTCATCTTCCATCTTTACCTAAGTACGCTCCCCCCGAACCCCCCGCCCCAGCCCCGGTCCAGGTTGGCCAGTCTTTTCCCCTCATGTTCATATGTGACCTGAGGCAGGTGGCCGCTCCACTGGCCAGAAACAAGCTCCGTGCTCAAAGGGCAAGCCCTCAACTGAGAGGCAGCAGGGCCAATCCTGTTCCAAGAACTGCAGAAAACACGAAATATTAAAAAGTATAGATTAACGTGTTCAGAGAGATAAATAGGGTCTAAGTCAGGACCGGGACCCCATGGAGATAGAACGGGGAACTGAGGAAAGCGCTCATTAAGATCCTAACAAGGAACATCCCACTCAGTGACAGGGTGTCCACTGGCCAGACAAGCTGCAGGAGGACTGGTGGTTTCCTCCTGTCCACAAGGTGGTGGCACAGGGCCCCTGGCAGCTGCATCAATGTCCTTGAATAGGGGAGGGCGGGGCTGCCCCTGCCCTGTGAAGCCTTTCTTTGGAAGAAAGGAGGGGGTGGACAGGAAGACACCCCTGAGAGGGGAGAAGCATAGTGAGTTCAGGATTGAACATGTCTACTTTGGGGCATTTGGACACCAAAGAATAAATTTCCAGGTAAAGTTGGGATATTCTTTATAGGAAAACTAGCCTGAAATGCAGCCTCTTAAAAGCACACGTGTATTACCTCACAGTGCCTGTGGGTCAGGAGTCCAGCACAACTCAGCTGGTCCTCTGGCCCGGGGTTTTTCTGAGGCTTCAGTCAAGGTCCTGGCTGGGCCTGTGGTCTCACCTCACCGGGGAGGCCCGCTCCGGGCTCATCACCAGGCTGTTGCAGGGTCAGTCCTCAGGAGTCTTGGGCAGGTGGTCCCTCCCATTCCTTGTCACATGCATCTTCAACATGGCCCAGCAAATCATAACTCGGCTGCTGAGCAAATGAGAGGACAAGAGGGGGCAGCAAGGTGGAAGCCAGCCTCTCTCACCCAGGCGTGGAGGTGGTCCCACTGCCTTTCTGCAAGTCACTAGAAGCACTCCGCACTCCAGAGGAAGGAGTCCACCAGGCACCAACACGCTGCAGGGGGCACTGCAGGGGCCACACAGGAAGCTGTTGGCAGCTGGATGCTGCCATTTGAAGCTTGGGACAGGGGCATCCTGATGAGTCCTCAGAACGGGAGTGGGAGAGACACTGTGAGGGTGAGATCTGCCGGGAAGACGCAGGACGTGGAGAGTGCCCACTGAGGACGGAGGAGAAAAGCCACAGTCATGGGACATGGATCAGAGAGCATCCTGGGTGAAATTAAGGAAGAGCAGGAGAGACCAAGATGGCGGCATAGGTAAACACCGGAGACTGCTGCCGCAAACAACCACTTCAAAAATACAACTAAAAGACGGAACGGACATCACCCAGAACCACAGGAAGGCTGGCTGAGGAGAGACTCTTCAACTAGAAGGAAAAATAACAGCACACCGAGGCTCAGAGGAGGCGCAGTGTGGAAAAAACTCAGGTGCGGAGGTGCGCGCGCAAAGCGGGCTGGTGGCTGAGAGCGCGGTTGTCGTTTTCGGTCAGGGGGGAGTCTCAGACTCTGAGCTCCAGATACGGGCGAATCGCTGGGGACTCGGACCCAAACGGGAGAAGCGGGAGTGTCTGGCATCAGTTGGAAGGCAGCTTTCCCTCCGAGGTTTGCAGCGGTTCCGGGGGTTCTGAGAAGCAGAGCCTCTGGGAACAGGACTGAGGGCACCATAACGGCTCCCTCCGCCCGCCCTGTTGAGCCCGCCCCGCCCAAGCCCTGCGCAGAGCCATTTGCCGGATAGCCTCAGGCAAAGGCTAGATTAGCACCTCCCCAGAGGACAGAAGTTTTCCGCGGCAGACACAGCTGATTCACACAGCCAGTCGGCCTGGTGGTCAAATCCCTCTAGTATTAACTACAACAATCAAGGCTCAACTAGAACAAGACTGCGCACAAAGACCACTAGGGGGTGCACCAAGAAAGCATAAAAAATGCGGAGACAAAAAAACATGACAGAAATGGAGGATATAGAGCTAAAAATCGCAATTTTGAGGGCTTGCAAAAATGTGCTAGAAGCTGTCAATAAACTTGAGGAGAGAGTCACGAAAACTAATGAGACCCTCGATGCTATGATAAAGAACCAACTAGAAATTAAGCATACACGGACTGAAATAAAGAATATTATACAGACACCCAATAGCAGACCAGAGGAGCGCAAGAATCAAGCCAAAGATTTGAAATGCGAAGAAGCAAAAAACACCCAACCGGAAAAGCAAAATGAAAAAAGAATCCGAAAATACGAAGATAGTGTAAGGAGCCTCTGGGACAGCTTCAAGCGTACCAACATCAGAATAATAGGGGTGCCAGAAGATGAGAGACAGCAAGATATTGAAAACCTATTTGAAGAAATAATGGCAGAAAACTTCCCCCACCTGGTGAAAGAAATGGACTTACAGGTCCAAGAAGCGCAGAGAACCCCAAACAAAAGGAATCCAAAGAGGACCACACCAAGACACATCATAATTAAAATGCCAAGAGCAAAAGACAAAGAGAGAATCTTAAAAGCAGCAAGAGAAAGAGACTCAATTACCTACAAGGGAATACCCATACGACTGTCAGCTGATTTCTCAACAGAAACTTTGCAGGCCAGAAGGGAATGGCAAGAAATATTCAAAGTGATGAATACCAAGAACCTACAACCAAGATTACTTTATCCAGCAAAGCTATCATTCAGAATTGAAGGTCAGATAAAGAGCTTCACAGATAAGGAAAAGCTAAAGGAGTTCATCACCACTAAACCAGTATTATACGAAATGCTGAAAGGTATCCTTTAAGAAGAGGAAGAAGAAAAAGGTAAAGATACAAATTGTGAACAACAAACATGCATCTATCAACAAGTGAATCTAAGAATCAAGTGAATAAATAATCTGATGTACAGAATGAACTGGTGATTATAATGAATCAGGGACATAGAAAGGGAATGGACTGACTATTCTTGGCGGGGAAAGGGGAATGGGAGATGCGGGAAGAAACTGGACAAAAATCGTGCACCTATGGATGAGGACAGTGGGTGGGGAGTGAGGGCGGAGGGTGGGGCGGGAACTGGGAGGAGGGGAGTCAGGGGGGGGAAAAAAAGAGGAACAAATGTAACCTGAACAAAAAAGATTTAATTAAAAAAAAAAAAAAAAACTGTGGTACATCTACACAATGGAATACTACACTGCAGTAAAAAAAAAGAAGGAATTCTTACCATTTACAACAGCATGGATGGAACTGGAGATCATTATGCTAAGTGAAATATCCCAGTCAGAGCAATATAAATATCACATGATCTCACTCATTTATGGAATATAATGAA